ACATGTGTCACTTAAATAGCTGCTGTTAAGCAGTTTATTTGGGAGATGACCTCACTATCAATTACATTTGACTGTAATATGCTCAGAGCCAGATGAATAATATCGTCTAAGCCCAAAAGGTTGTGATTAGAGGCTAGAGGTATTCTGCAGTCTCAGGGATCACAGTCCAGAGGCTCTTTCTCCCCAAGGGTGACCCACTAGTACCATCACCCCTGGACCCAGACACGCTGGCTTATCCACAGAGGACCCACTTTTATATCAGCAGCTGGCTTCAGCAGAAGCTGCTTGGGGGCTAGGCTAGCTAGAGACAACTTCTATCAACTCAGAGGGGAGTCACTGGGATCTCCCTGTTTTCAACTATTTTATAACAAACGACACAAAACATGAAGCAAGTTCAGGTACTACTTTATAAAAGTGATAGAGAACAGAGAAGGGAAGACAAAAGAAAGAGGCCAAACAATGTCCCAGTGGCATATGGATCCCACAAATCTACTAGGCTAGATCCTCCATGCTATAGTTCAGGGAGATGGGGGGTGGGGTAAGGCTGCCTAGTGAGACCTGCCAAGATGCTGAGGGCAACTGCCTGGCCTGTTCCATGGGCAAAAGATACCTGAGGCTTCCCACACTAGGGAGCATCGCATGAGAGAAGTCATAGCAAAACACCCTTCACAGCAGCTGCCTTAAGGTACCATTAAAAAAAAGAGGGTGGGGGGTGGGAAGAAGCATTATTACTCAGACAAGAGACTTGTTGTTGAAGGCCTCAATCTTGACACATGCTACAACATGGATGAAACTCAAAAATATATTAAGCGAATTGTATTTAAATAATGGCTCCCAAACCTTTTGGCCATCTGAGCTTGGGCAAGTTATTTAACCTTTCTAATCCTCGATTTGTTTATCTATAAAATGCAGATAATGATAGTATCTACTTCAGAGGATTATTGTGAGGATTAAATAAAATAATGATTAACAAGGCTTTAGCCCACACATGGTAAGCACTCCTGTGTAAATAAATAGTAGCTATTATTATTTTGTTATTACCCCTCCATAAAGTGAAGACCGATAACCATCTAAGAGGCTCAGAGGTGTTCTCCATGTACTAATCGCACATTCATATTCTTAGGCTAGACATGGAGAGATGGATAAACCTGCCTTGCTAAGATTTCTAATTGTCCATTCCTGACGTTTCATCCACAACCTGTATGCTCTGGAAGACTCACTGCATATTTAAGAGGTGGCCTGTTGTTCAGCAAACAGAGCATCTTCCTTGGATGCAAAGAATCACAGAGCCTAAGGAGTAAATTAACAGATAAAACATTAACATTGCCCTAAATGCAAAGGCCTTCTGGGATTTACCTGTCTTTACTTTACAAAAATAGAGTAAATACTATGTACTCTGTTTTAAGGATAATACTAAGAGCTGAACGTTTATGTATTAGAATACTAAATCACAAACTTGTCTTTTAAAAACTTAAAGGGTAAGTCACAGCTTACCCTTAGGTTTTCCTGTTGGAACTGCTGTAATGACTATGTTTAGAAAAGATAGTCTGATAAAAATGAATTAAACATAAAAAAGGTATATACTAAATGAAGGAAGCCAGACACAAAAGGCCACATATTGTATGATTCTATTTTTATGAAATGTCCAGAAAAGGCAAATCCATGGAGACATAAAGTGGATTAGCAGTTGCCTAGGTGGCAGAGGGGATTGGGAGGCTTGGAGTTGATGGCTAAGAGGTACAGGGTTTCTGTTTGGGGTTATAAAAGTATTCTAAATGATTGTGGTAATGGTTCACAATTCTATAAATTCAAAAGACTAAAAACTATTGAATTGTATGTTTTAAATGGGTGAACTGTATAGTATCTGTTACATCTAAATAAAGCTGCTAACAACAACAAAAAAAAACCCCACAAAACTTAATTTATAAATTTACTGCAACTCCAATAAAAATGCCAAGGGTTCCCTACCTCCTGATTTTGGCAAGTTAACTCTATAAAGTTCATCCAGAGGAAGAGACAAGACAATTTTTCAGAAAGGGTGATGAAAAAGTCTGACTCTGGAATAATAATAAAACATATCATTAAGCTAAACAATCCAAGCCATGCGTTACGTGAATAGAAATGGAGATAAATAGAATAGAAATAAGTAGAACCATGTAAATAAAGGAATTTATATTATATTATGAAGAGAGATTTCACATCAGGGAAAAACGGATATACTATTTTTAAACAAAGAAAAATAGTATACGCAGCTCTATCCACACACAGGAAAAGGTCAACCATAGTAGTTATCTCTGGTTGGGGGATGGAGGTGGGGTAATAACACTTCTAAATTGTTTTGATTTTTAAAATGAGCATGTACTTCTACTGCAATTTTTTTTAAGGGAAGGAGCAATAAGAAATATACTGCCTACTTTGGAGCAGAGAATGGAGTAGAGGGAGGTCCACGGACATGGATCTAAGATGACATACCACCAAGTCATATAAAGAGCGCAGGTATTAAGGCCAAAAGACCTGGGTTTGAGTTTAGAAAGCCCATTAAATATTTGAGGCTTGGATTTCTCACCTGTAAAATGGGTTGATACATATACCTTAAAGAAATATTGAGGCCTACTAAATGAAATCAGGTATGTCAATGTATTTTGCAAATGGTAAAGTGCTTTAAAAAATCTAGGTATTTTTAAAGGTATTACTGCTTGGTATGGCAAAGCCTTAGGTTGAAAACCAGAAAAACAAGGGCTAACACTACAAAGTTCAAAGGGAAAGCAGAGATGGATGAGAACTAATGAGACTGATCAACCGACTAGAATGTGTGGACCTGATTTGGACCTGATTTGGACCTGATTCAAACTGTTAAATATATTTATGAGAATCAGGAAAATTTGAATACTGTTGCATGAGATTAAATTAAGGTGCTAGTACTATCTTTTAGATGTAATAATCGCATTACGGCTGTGGGTTTCTTTAAATATTATTTTCTAGAGATATATATAGAAATATGTATGAATCAAATTATATAATGCCTGATATTGAGATTTGCTCCCAAATAATTCACAAAGTTGAGGGGGTGGAACATAGATAGAGGTATAGATGAAACAAAACTGGCGGCTGAAGTTGGGTGATAAGTAGTAAGGATTTATAGTATTATTTTTTCTACTTTTACATATGTTGGAAACTTCACATAATTAAAAGTTTTATGAAAAATTAATGGGCCTCACCTTCCTAGGTCTAGGAGAAGGTAATCTGAAGTCTGTTAGAGGGAAAACTGAGTGCAGCCTTGCTATTAAGGGCTTCCTCGCTAGGAAGGGCAGAGAAGCCCGCACTGCACTGCATAAAAGTCGTGGGTCAGCAGGTGGAGCTGACAAACCAAATATCAAGATCAGAATGAGTCACATCTATCAAAGAAAGGCACAGGGCTTGGTGGGGCTGATGGGGTTGAGGTAGTAATGGGACAGGCGTCTATAGAAAGTAAAGAGAATTTTGGTATAAAATATAAATGGCAACTAACAAGATAATTAAATATCCAACTAGAATTGCAGCTGCTAAAGATTATTTTTAACCAGCATAATACTGTTAACAAGATTTCATGCTGACATTTAGACTTCAAATGTAGATTAATGAATAGATTAATACCTTTCTAGGCTCATCCTTTAATACCACTTTACAAAAGTGCTATTGCAAAAAACAACCCAAATCCCAAAAGATTAGCTGCCCTGTTCTTAATAAAATTAAACACACAGAATTAAGCTGCCTCCAAAAGTTGACCTATTAATGTGAGGGTAAAATAAAAAGTTCTCTAGCAAAAGCTTTACTTATATGCTTTCAGTAGCTAAATTTTCACTGGTCTCGCTTTTGCTTAGGGTCACCTGATATGGTTGGCAAGACCTTCCACCCTTACTCCCAGTTTTGCCCTGGTTGCTGCCACTTAAGGGGAACGAAGGATGATGTCATTCAGTTGCTTTACTTTTTGATACTGCCTCATGAAAGATCAAAACACCATCCCTTTGAGCCCCATCAGAAAACCTGAATGAGATGACTCGAGTGAGACATTTCTTACGCCCTCTGCCTTCAAGGATCTCTACTCTAGTCCACTTCTCATTACCCTCCTACCTCCTGCAATGGCTTCTTTCACAAACCACAATAATCCACCACCCCCAGAGTCTAAAGAAAAGGTTCCTAGCTCTGCCACTAATAAGAAGACAGGGAATCTTATAACCCATCTGTGAAATGAGAGGATTAGATGAATGGTTTTCTAAGACTCTTTTCAATGTTCTGATTCCCACATGAGCCTCTCCTTAACTAAGTGAACAAAGCATTAGGCCATGACAGATGGGTTTTCCTGTGAATCTTGAAGCATACATGATTAAGGAAACCAAAGAGAAGTGGAAGATCTTCAAATCCTTTTAAGACTCTGCCTAATTTAGACCTGGTCAAAGGAAGAGGTGAGGCTGTAAGAAAACCTAACTGCCGCCATGACATCAAATCACTCTATCTAAAGTGACAAGAACCCAGTGGGGTAAGAGGTAAAGGAGGAGGAGAAATCAGGTGCTGGAGTTCTCCTTGGTCCATTTCGTTACCTCCAATGTGAGCTGGATTCTCGTGCCACAACCTTTCCTCCTCTATAAGTCCATATCCCGCTCCTAAGATACAGCACGTAAACTGAAGTGGGAAGGCCTGATGTACAATCTAAAATTTCTGTGTTTCGACAAGTTCAAAATAATCCTAAAATAACTTCAAATCAACCGTCAAACCATCTGTTCATGGCAGAATATATCAATTTGGTCACTCATGTGACAAAGCAGGTCTTTTTAAGTGAGATCAGTGGCCATCTCAAGAGATAAATTCCAGGCTGCTACCACTGTTAAAATAGGTTTAGCTGTGTACTCTAAAGCCATTATCCGTTTTCAGCAAGATGTGCCTACTGGCCGCACTCTTGGGAAAAACAAACAGACCAAACATAAGAGCAATAGCTTGTTCAACTTGGTACTCATGCTTCTTACCCACATATTCTGAGAGGAAGACGACAAAGAACGGAGTGACCAGGTCATTAATTCCCTGGACATACCCACTGGCAGGGTGTCGGATGGCCCAAATAAATAGAATTCTTTCGAAGATCTAGGAAAATGAGAAAGAAAGAAGACATGACTGTTAGACCATGGGGATACACTCCCTCCCTCCATTTACCTACCTCACAATTTATCCCAAGATTGCTGCAGAATTTCTAGAAAAATTTTTTAAAATACCACAGACAAAGGAAGTATACAAATATAAAAAGTTTCTAAGATGCTAACTGTTTTTAAGCAGGGGGGGTAGGTATTTCTTGCCCTTTATTTATCTTTTCAATATCTAGTCATTGCGATATAAAATTGGGAAAAGGATGGTGACACAAACAGCTTGAAAAAAGGTTTGCAATGGATGTCACTAATTCAGGATGTCTTTTGTAGATACTGTTTCTTTATTTCCTGTGATACTTTTTCTAAATCTCTTTTTGTCATTACAGGATTTAGAGAAGAAATACCTTCTCTATCACCCTCTCCTTTCTCCCTGCTGAGACGGAAGAGATCTAGATCTAGATTTAGTTCTAGCCTAGCTTAACTAGAAGCTAGTGACAGACTACAAAATACAGGAAGTCACTTCATATACCAGGATGCAACCCAGACATTTGCTGGGGATAGGAAGTCAAATAAGCCAAATCCCATGACTGTTACAGCTGGGAATCTGAAAAGAGAAATCAGCCAGGGCCTCCATGGGAAAGCTTCTGGGGTTAAGTATGTCAGCTACAAAGGGCCAGAGGCTTAGAATGGGGAGAAAGATTGTTATGGTCCCTTTGCAGAATCTGGCCCTGTCCCACTCAACTACATTCCCCTCTGCTTTCATTAGGTCCTCTGAGCTTTCCCCCGATCCTCTTTCAATCTGATAATACTCATTCCCTGGCTTCATCCTGCTGACCACAATTCTTGGGTCAAACATAACTGCTTCATATCTCTGTGAACCACACCAGAGGGGTAGCACAGATGATAATGACTATGTGCAGAGGGACAGGAGATTACAGAGCCTCCACAGCATATGGGCTTTGCAGAGCCCCAACCAATTGGTTCTGAGGGCAGACTGAAGAGGACCTCTCCGTGGTCAGGTGAAGGGGAAAAAAAAGCTCCCAGGGAGAACAGTTATAAAGTAAATGGCTGTATGGTTTTGGAGTTGGTTAGCTAGTGTAGGAGAGAAACAAAGAATCTAAAGACACATTAAAAGACCTGTGTTGAGTCTGCCTTCCAGCTGGCAAAGAGCTGACCAACACTCCCAGTGGCAACACTCCTGCCCTTCCAGGCAGTGAAAACAAAACCCTGTCTAGGAGGAGCTGGCCTGTCTCCATTAGACTTGCCCACTTGTTCTCTGGGGCTGAGGGAAGGGCTTGGTGTCCTCATTTGTATTAGACCTGCTGCTCTAATGGGGCCCTCCTACATTCTTTCCACTCTACTGCTAAATGACCTCTCCTGCCCTTGAAACTATAGCTCAAGCTAGACCTTCCATATTCAGGAAGATCTTAAGGATTCTCCCCCAACTCTGTCTCCTCACACCTCCTGTGGCCTATGTCTGTCTGGATGTCTCTTTTAGAAGCTCCTCTAGGTCAGTCCTTCTAAAGGACTTGCCAGGGCTTCTACGCCATACTATGAATACACAAATCCTTGGTGACTGGCTTTAACGATGGCCAAGGGCATGGAAGATAGCCATTCAGAATCAGGAGATCTGCAATAAACCCGCTCTACTAAGGATGGGACAACATAGATAAACTCACCCTGTACAAATGAAGACACCAAAGAGATGGAAATTAAATAGCACCAAGACTGGTTACCAGAGGAGACCATGGAATCTTCCTACAGAAAAAATCTGGGATAATTTTTGCCTTGCAGAGAGGAGAGGACAGGATAATACCAGAAGGCTTTTCTATACCTCTTCTCCTAGTGTGAGTAATTCTGACTTACTGTAGTTAATGCTCAAGTATCTTTCAGATTTGCAAAGAAAGTCTTTCAATATTCAGAGTTACTTAATTCTCTGCTCCTTGGTTGGTATTTTACATCTGCTATGGAAATATGATTCAAGAAAAATTGGAAAGCCTATAGTTTGATTTTCCTTCTTTGTATTCAGGTTCCACTACTAGAAGATTTTTAAACAAACTACTTTCCTTGTCTCCGAGTTTAGAGTAAGCTCGCACAGGTTAAAGCACCTGAACATCTCCAACTTAAAATGGGAAATAAACAGGGCTGAGCTATGAGAAACTGTATGGAAAACAGAGGGATCCTATATGGGTTTTTAGCTTCCTTTGAGCTGACTCTTATAGGTAAAATAATGATGTCACCCTCAAAAATCTCTTAATGCTATTGATAAGTCATGAGGGATCCCACCAGTAGAGACATCTATAATTAAACAGAATTATGAACATAATCTAAAGTCAATAAAAATTATTTTGAGCATTTTTACTGCCATCCCTATTATGAGGATTCCTGAAAGTGGAATTCAAAGAGCACCTAAACCCCGTACCCTAGCTACTATGAAGCTGCTACAATCTCAAAGAGTTTATATGCCTAATCTCAAGGAGTTTACGGTGACTGCTTGGACAAAAGATAACAGTCTCACTGAAACCTTCCATGTGCTTCACTAACTTGTTAGGTCTCAACGTATCATTACTAATTTATCTTCTGGGTATATAACCAAAAGAATTTAAAATAGGGGCTCAAACATGTTTGCCTGCCTATGTTTACGGCAGCATTATTCACAATACCCAAGGAAGCAACCCAACTGTCTATTGCTAGATGAATAGATGAAAAGAATTTCAGTTTGGAAAGATAAAAAGTTCTAGAGATGGATGGTGGTGATGGTTGCACAACAATGTGAATGTATGTATATTTACCATGATAAAAGAAAAATCCTTATCCCAGCTTGATAAAGTAGAGTAAACACAGGACAAGGAATTTTAAGATGTGGGTTCTCATCTTTATCCTGTCACCGGGTAGCCTCAAAACTCTGGGCAAGTCCCTTAACCTCTCAAGACACTACTCAACCCACAGGTTTGTTATGAAGGTCAAAGGAGAATGCACAAGAAAGTGCTCTGAAGGGACCAAAGCTCCATATCAGGTTCTGTCATGATAAGCCATAAAGCTGCCCGTGGTGGGAGGGGAAGGCTCCAGCACTTATCCACGCAGGACAGGTGCCTCAGAGGTACGAGGGGAGAAGGGCCGAGAAGATTAAGTACTTCCCTCACCTCCTGTACAAGTGGTTGCTGGAACAATGGAATGAGAGGATTCGTCCTTGGAATGTCAATGTGAATCTGAAAAAGAGAAGCCATGTCCAAAAACACAAATGCCAGTTTGTTCTTTTGAGAAGTTATTTTCTTAATAAGAACTAGGAATCAAGGGCGTAAGAGTGAGAGCACAATTTATCTTTAGAAAGAACTGACATACAAAAAAAGTCTAGTTAAACCTACCAGTCCATCTGGAATATGCTTCAATGATAGCAATAGCTTATTGAACAGTGAAGAAACCTCCCCGCAAATAAACACTAATCTCAAAAAACAATAGGCGTCAAGTCACAACCTAAGAGAATCACTTGCTTTTTCCTATTGCTTTGAAGTCTATTTCGCTTGGAGCTGGTGCTTCCTCAACAGTTATGATCAAAATATCCACCCCTTTTCCCAAATCTTACTCATCATCTTTTAGTTTCCAAGAACTAAAAGAGTTCTGATGGCTGCAAAAATGTGCCTGGACAGGGAACCAGAGAAGAACCTGCTCATGAAATCGTGACGTGTAAGAAGTGGGGAAAAACCGGGGAGCTAACCTTCAGCAATTGGCACTGAAGTTCTGACTTCTGTTACCAAAGAGGTCATTATACTTGGTTTTGGCCTCGGGATTTCCCAATGCCCAGTCTAACACTAAAAACTGTCAGCAGTGGCAGAGGTTACTTCAGCTCTTAAGGCTTGTTGCAGACAGCTCCCTCCCCCAGTCTTTTCCCCTCTTCTGCAACCACCAGACTCCTCTTCTCCCCCCTCCATTTTTCCATAGGCCGTGAGGACCACTGTGAGCAATAATGGAACATTTCTGCCAAGGCTGTTGATGGCTACAGCTCCTGCAGACAGACAGACAGGGAAGAACAGGCATTGCAGCTGCCAGAAGGACACACTGATGTCACAGTCCAGAGGGACTGGACTACTCCTGAGTGAACTCATCTTTCATCTTGTGTCCCATTCCCCTTACTACTTGCAGTGAGGCCTGTGAAACAATAGTGTTGGCATCATCCAGAATTTCGTTAGAAGTGAAGGTCTCACCCCGGATCTACTGAATTAGAATCTGCATTTTATCATAACCCTTAGGTGGGATTTTCTCAAAATCCTAGGTGATTTACGTGCACATTAAACTGTGAAAAGCACTGCCACTGCCCAGTAGGGAAAAGAAGCCTACTTTAAATGGCTAAAATCAGAGCTACTGAATTAGAAAGAGGGGAAACAGTGCTGAGAATAATTTTTTTCCAGACCCCCGAGAATAAATTTAGTTTATTATATCTACTTCATATACCCCCAAGAATAAATTTAGTTCCTAACCAGCACACCATTGCTTGAAGACTTGGAAAACCTGTACCCCGATAATATTTTCAGGGGATACACCTTAAGATTATGAATAGTAAGCAAAAAGGCAGCAGGTGATGACTGTACCTGTCTGTAGGTATCCTGGTGATGTTCCTCATTTCGAGAGTCATAATACTGCTCAATGAAGCCAAAATATTCCTCTCGCTTCCGCTGCAGGGTCAACTTCCTCCTCTCGGTGTTGGCTGGGAGATAGCCCTATAGACAGGACTGCTAGTCAGATGGGGACAGATATTGGTTGGATGAATCCTTAATTTTTACTTTAGCCTGAATAGTGACTTGGAAACTATCAAAGGAACAGAAGGAAAACTGCCAAGAGGACAAGGGTAAATCCCTTTTTGGTTCTGACCATCCAGTGTTTGCCCTTTCCCCAATCAATGAGATCCACATGTGGGCAGATGAGCCAAAGCCAATTTTCCCAGGGTTATTTATTCTTGTAGCCCTGCGCTGCGCTTGGAGCTTGTACCGCTGGTGAACACTCCAGAGCTCCCAGAGTTGGCACGGTAGAGCAGTGTATGTAGGTCAGTTGGAGGGAACTGGACCCAAAAGTCAGCACCTCTGAGGGCTGCATGTGTGTAAGACACTACTTCTGAGAACCACAAACAGATGGCCAACTCTACAGCACATCTCAGTGATGTGCCATATAAGTTTGTGCTGGCTACCTGTTCTTTTCCATAGTAACAGTCAGAATTACCAGCTTAGGGAGCTGCATGAAATCTGTGACATAGCAGCTACAATGCCCAGACAAAGAATTGGCAGCAGCTTCCCTCCTAGCCGAAGCTCCAGGCCAACTTTCATTCTTGTTCCTGGTCTAGATCCCACTCTCAATTCTTATATCTCCTGTTCCGTTCTCACCAAATCTACTCTTAATAGCATTCAAACTTATTAGAAGTGGCAGAGGCAATGATTACATGGTTGCAAGATTGAGGGTGGGAAGCAGTCAGGAGAGAGAGAGACACTTCCTCTTGCAGACAGCTATGGAACACATTCCATAGCGAGTGCCTGGAGGGCAGGGACTGTGGTTTATTCATTTTTGTATACCCTCCCGGTCCCTGGCACCATTCCTGGCAAACAGCAGGCCCTCAATAAATCCTTACTAGGTGACTGAATGAATTTCACAGGTTTAGGAAATCCAAGTGTTCCCAAAGCAGTGGCTGGCACCGTGCTCTGTACTCAGGGAACGTGAGACTAGTGCAGACTTCCCAGGGAGGCCCATTTATCAACTCTTTGCAGCTGCAATGTGAGTTTCAACCACTTTGTTTATTCCTATTGAAAAAGGAGTGAAATGCGGGGACGGTGGGAGCTTGCCCAAACAAGTGCTGGGATCACCCTGCCTCACTATATCCTTCCTCCTCGGTGGTGAGAAAGTGAGATTGTGACTGTAGGAACAAAGTTGTGCTCTTCTACATGTGTGAGAATAAACTCTCAAGAATGTGTTTCTTTATGCACAGAAATAGGACTATAGTCCCACAGTTCTGTCATATCCGCTAGGACCACAGAAGTCTATGGAGTAAGACTAATGTGCCCGGACTAACCTCATCAGGTAAGAAGGGCTGTGTGAGCTCATGCTTCTCTACAGAGTAGGTAGAACTCACCGACAGGAGTCTCCAGGTTACAGGTCGAACCTCCCTGGGAACCCCTGGCCAGCTACACTTCCTCAGTTCATCTGCAAACAGATAACAGCTTCGTTGAATTTAGCTCTTCCTACAAACACCCTAAAACAAACCTTAGCCGGCACTTTCTGATGCCTCCCACTGCTCAAGTTAGATGATCACCACCATCACCACAAACACCACCACCAGCTACTGACAAGCACAGGGAAAAAGTCCAAAACAACAGCTCTGAGCAGTGAAGTGCCAAGGACAGGGCTCTGCAGTAGTGATCCAGTCAGCTCAGAGATTAGAGAGGAAGAGAAAGACCAGTGGGTATGGATTTCAGTAAGAATCACCTTGAGGTGGGGAAACCAATGCCAGAATAGTTGCACTATGGTCTACCGGCCACAGGACCCAGTTCCACCTAATTTGGACCCTAATTTCTAGTAACATACTTCTGACTTAATACCTGCATGTCACTGCAATGGGCACCAGATCAGGAGATGCTGGAAAAGTAAAAGAAGGAAGAATAAAGAGCAATAGCTTCCAGATCTCTGAGAAATTCCAGTCACCAAGAAGTCCTATCTTAGCCAGGGCTCAGGGGGACTCACCTAAGTCAGTGTTGTGGCTGGAGAGAAGCTGACGAAATTTCTCTAGGCGGGTTTTCTCCCGGACAGTCATGGGCGGTGCCCCAGAAGCGTTCTGGTCAGAAATCCGGGCAACAAGAGGGATGATGGGTCGGAGAGGGAGTGACTGCTGTTTGTGGAGTGTGTTCCTCAGGCAGGTATCACCTAGGATAATTTGAAAGAGAAAGAGAACATCCTGAGTGAAGAGCATGGAATCTGAGAACCCTTAAACCTGACTGTTCAGTACCAGTCTCTCCTCCCACCAGAGCTGCAGCTAACAGTCTGTGCTCTGCCTGAAGGTGCCCAGCTGAGGGGCAGCCAGGGAATGGAAACACAGCTATCCTCCACTCATCTGCCCAGAGGACAGGCTGCATTTTATCATACATACCAAGACGCCTTATGTGCTCACGGAGACTCAGATGCTACAGCATCTCTGAGAACTTTTTTGGCGACTCCAGAGGTCAATTGAATATTTTCTTTCTACCCCAACCTGGACCTTTTCTCGGTGCTTAATAGTGCGTTTGGTAGCAACGTAATCTAAGGCCATGTTTGCCTTCCCTTTTCACGTCACAGAGCACATAAGAAACGATGATACTACAAGGAGCACTGCAATAAAAGGAGGTGGCTGCTCTTCTGAAGCCCCAGGCCCTACCCTGCTACCCAAAGGGCTGAGAAGATCAATACTCCTGGCCCAGTTCTAACCTGCTCTTGGTACCCTGCACATTGGAAGAGAAGCTCTGGCTGCAGTTCTGTGCTTCTACATTTCCCACCAAATGAATGAGCTTTTAATTCTTCTGGGATATGACTAAAATAACAAGAACACTGATTCAAGCTGAACTCTATGTCTGGTTCTAGACATTTCTAAACTAGATGGTAGATAGGAGAAATGAGCAGTATAGGACTAATATTTATTGAGTGCTTACTACGTATAAGGCATCATGCTGGTCACATTTACGTATTTCTCATTTGATCCTTACAACACATGGTAAGAATTTACTACTATTTTACAGATGAGGAAACTGCAGCTCAGAGAGGTTAAGTAATTTTCAAAGAGGAGCCAAGAGGCCACCTTAGATCATTCTGACTCCAAAACCCTTATTTTACCACCCCAAACAAAACTCAGTTTTAAATTCTGCCTTTTCATGACTGTTTCATATTCTTTATATATCTGGGCCTTAAAAAGTAGTAGTCACAATAAGAATTAAACAGTGATGACTGAAAGACCAGCACAACTAGAAGGTTTACAGAAACAACTGCCACAGGGTCCGTGGTGGGGATGCCTAGCATAACCAGAGGCCTAGAAAATGCAGACCACACACTGCAGAGCTGAGACTGATGTGTACCTCTGATATCAGTGATTAACACATAGATGTTCACAGGAGGATACCTCATAAAGAGGAATGCTTTGGGCAGTCCGGGCTGCACAAGGGCAGCTTATTACTGATCGTGGAGGGGTCTTCCTCACACTGACACCCTCTAGAGACCCGCAATCTGGTACATACACACTTTCCATAGCCTGTGGCTGTGGTCAACTGGTCAATTAACACTGAATGTCTGCCTGGGCAGGGCACTGAAGGTTCAAGTTGGAGCCCAAATCAGTGATAGAAAGTGGCTGTAGAAGGATTTTAAAGGCCTTACAGCATAATTTTGTGATCAGATGCTTAGTCTGAAACTGTAAAAGAAGTTCTCTTAGAACATGAGCCAGGATATACTCCAGGGCTCTGACATTCTGCTACTTTCTTTTCACTCTTTACCAGTCAGCTGTTTTAACTTTCACTAGAATGAAGACACTTTCTTCTCTAGCTCAGAATAACTGGCTCCCATAAAACCCTTTAGGGCAACATTAAATATAGCAACACATATTTAAAAGAGTACACTAAGAGTCCCCAGACATCTGATAAAGCCACCATCACCTCAAACGGCTACTGAAGCCAGTTTCCTGAACAGACACAGAAGGGGCATCTCCTCCTGCTACACCCAACCTGATTGATAGGCAGGGAGCTGTGACACCGGGCCCTCAGGCACATGTTGCTCCATCACTCAAGAATAGGAAAAAGGCAACCTTATGCTGGTGGCTGTTCCCCATGGCTGAGGAGGCTAACTAACAATGCCAAATGTTTGTGAAATTCAACTACTAACAACTTTAAATGCATTGGTCAATACTCTTTAACCTGACCAGGCCTAAAGCAACATGAAGCAATCAGACCACAAAAGTTTTGGACTCCAGCACAAGGGAAGAAAGGGACTGACAGGAAACACTTGGGTGTGAGGAAGTGAAGCCTCAGGTCACAGAGACAAGCAGCCATCAAGGTGGGAGAAGCAAGTACAGCTTATTACCCGTTAGGCTCATTGATGTTGTACCTCAGACTTGAGCTTCCTTATTTATCATCCAATAGAAAATCTGAGTGGTGCCATACAGAAAAATTGTTTTTTATTTAAAATGCACTCTGCTGAAAAGGCAGAGGCTATGGTGGGGAGCAGGACGAACTTACTGGAATTTCTGGACAGCTGGGCGTCACTGCTGGACTTTATGACCTTGTAGCTGGCAGGAACGTCAGATGTTGTTGACTGGGACCGTTCTGGTTTCAATCTCAGCTTGCTGTGGTTTTCTAAGACTTGGGCTGCAGTTGCCAAAGCAACTTTTGAGTTCAGAGTTTGGAAAGAAGGGGAGGAAAAGTCCTCTTCTTCATCATCACCTATGTCCCAAGCATCACTGGTATTCCGGGCAAACTCATGAAAACTGGAGGCCTTCTTATTCTTCAGAGGAATTGCATTCACTTTTGACCGTTCTTTAATGAAGCTTTAAGAAAGGAGACACCATTACCAAGAAATGGTCTGACACATCTCACCATCCTTACTTGCTTAATATTATACAGTTTACAAACTATCCCATATACAATCGTTACCTTCAGACAACGAAACACCCATATCCATTCCTCATCTACATTCATCTAGGAGAGCCCTATGCTGCAGAGACAGATGCAGCAAAGACAGCAATGTTCACCAAATACTCCACGTGCTCCTCTATACTTCCCAGCCCCTTTGCACTTAGGCAAGGTTATATGACTAGCTCTGGCCAGTGGGCTGAGAGAAATGAGGCAATAGGCAATCACTTCGAAGCCCGAGTATAAAAGAACAGGTATGAGTTCTCTATAAGCTTTGTTCTACTGTGGAAACTGATGAGGCTCCAGATGGTGGCACTTCCTGCAGCCTGGATAACGGAGTGACTATTGGAGCAGAGCCTGCCCTCCACCCCGCCCGACTTCACTCTGGATATGTAGCGTCAGCAAGAAACAAACCTTTGTTGTATCAATGTACTGAGATATCAGAGTAAATCTGTTATATGGCACCATAACCTAAACTATTCCTTAGAGTAAATAGGATGTAAACTACTGGTAGAACAATAGGTAACTTTAGGTAGTCTATCTGTGACGTTAAACATTGAGTTCCAAAATGAACAAGTGGTCCTTTTTATTGTTAAAAGTCCTTCTGCTAGCTTTGAGGACATGGTCTCAGTTTGGTGCTACTTTGTCTTTAAGACTATTTTTTAACAAAGTGAGAGCAGCCTTAGGGCCAACATATTTGCAAGCAACAGGACTCGGCTTAGAATTTAATAAGGTTGTTTTTCACTGTGTTTATTTTTAAGGTTACTTTCTATTTGGGGCAAATGGTATTGGTTTTCCACTTAGAGAAGTGATATGGTTCATTTTTTAAAATCAATCTAATTGAGTAATTTTTTTTTTTTTTTTTTTTTTTTTTTTTTTTTTTTTTTTTTATGCATTTAGTGATATAGAACGTGGCAAAGAATCGTGAAGATTTGAGGAATGCTAGATTTTCCTCATTGAGGAAAGAGAGTCTAGTCCCAAGAGTCATGCAGACCATCCCTACTTTCCTGAACTTTTCCTCGTTATGTCCCCCTCTTTGGGGGAACTTATTCTGATTCCAGGGGACTATGTGGTTGGAACATTTCTAACTCAGTCTTATCTAGCATCTCTCATATCCCAAATAGGGAAGCAGAGGATATAGCCTTGCGTAAGTTTACACCTGGGGACTAAAAATGCAATGGGCAAAAACATCATTAAAATGCCTCATTGTTCCCCTAGCAAGGCAGGGCAACTTTAGAAAACAAGGCTCTGCGAGAACAGTCTCCCCATTTCACAGAAATGTCTCTTCTTTTGGGTAGAGGTAGGTGATCCCTGGATGAGTCCAATACCTATTCTGAAAGACAGCTGTTATTAACATTGATAAATACAGACTGATAATTCATACAGTTCATTGGAATGTCTCTATTACTAACATCAAAAATGGAGTAAGGTATCACTTATGGCGTTATTTTCAAACACTAGTCTCACACAGAGTAAAGGAAAATATGTCACACCAGTACAAGAGAGAACACAAGATCACAAGATGTAACAGCTCAAATGTGATGGAAACAAGATATCAATTTCCACCCACTAAATTAGGAAAGATTTAAACCTGTATTCTCTTTAGTTAACCAAGGTGTAGTGAGACCAGCTCTCTAACACTGCAAGTGGAGTAGTTTGTACAACCTCCTGGAAAACAATCTGGCAACAAACATCATGAGCCTTAAAATGGTTCATAATCTCCAACCGTAAGACCATAGTCAGAAAGTCAAACAAAAATAATCTAAAACAGTTTATAATAATGTTAATTATTTTGATTAAAAACTGCAAATAACATAAACATGTAGAAATTGGAAATGATGAAAGAAATTATGGTTCAGCCACCAGATGGAATGTTATACTGCTAGTGAAAATCACATCCTCAAGGCTATTTAATAATACTAGAAAATGATCTCAATAAAGTAAAAATTGGAACCAAAATTATATATTTTTAATGACTGCTGTATTTTTTTAAAAAGTATATACATAGAAAAGACCAGGAAGAAAATACATCAAAATGTTAACAGCACTTATCCCTGGGCTGTGGAATTATGGGTGATATTTAATTCCATTTTTATACTTCTCTGAATTATTCATATTTTCTACAATGAGTATATTATTTTTATTAGTCAGTGGAAAATGTTGTTTTGCTGGCTTTCATCAATCCCCAAAGTAAGAGTACTTATAAACCTACTGAATGAAAAATTGTAAATGTACAAGAGCCCAAATCAAATAAAACTGAAGCAACACAGTGCCAGAAGGCAAAATACTCTGTAGACCTACTGAGGCTGCATGTTCTGAACTCATCAATATGGTTGCTTCTTCTCTATAAAAGGAGATCCAGGATCCACAACCTGCAGTACATACCGCAGAGGGTCCACTGCCAAGAACAAATAGGCAGATGAGTAAGAAAGATCAGTCATCAATAAAATATTACAATAGGAGTATGTGGTTATTACTGTTTTCCTCTTTGGAGATTATGTGCACCTCAAGACGGCACATAATGAGTCCAACAAAGTGATATGGAGTACTTTGTATGGCGAGGTTAACTACTGGTTTTTTTTGTTTGGTTTTTTTTTTTTTTTTTGATTGATGTTTCCTAAATATCCTCTTGATAATTTGAGAATTCTTTAAATAGACCATCAAATCAAGAAGCTGAATTTTAACCCAGGTCGAAAAACCGACTGGGTGCTGATAGTCTAACACTGGGTGAAGCATATGCACTCTGTGTTGAATTAAAACACTACACCAAGAGATGGGCTATGTGAACTTCCTATACAAATGAGGTAAATCAGCTGAGTGTTGGGTACATGAGTGTTTGCTATATATTTCTTTACACCTTTTTATGCAATTAAAGTATTTCATTATATTTTTTAAGCAGATGCAGATTCAATATAAGTAAACTAGATTAAGAATTATTCAAGCGATGAAGACTTTTGCAAATAGAAATTGGAAAGACATATTCCAACACAATGAGAAGGAAAGAAGGGAGGAAAGGCTGCCAATCCCTGTGACAGAAAGTCATGAGAGAGTCAAAACAGACCATTTCGAGGCTGCTAGAAATTATTTTAGGGATACCTACCCCACAAATCTCCAAACTCAAACAACCAGTTAGAAAAGTCAGCTCTGTCCTGAGGACAGGGATGGGAGTCTGAGGACAGAAGAAGGATGAAAGAGGAAAGCAAGGGTGAAAGGTACCTGGGTTACCACTGAGAGAAAGCAAAATCTATAGACCAGAGACAAAGATGGAAAGATTTAAGGCTTTGAAGATTTTCCATGTTTATTAATTTTGTTCTCTCCACAGGAGATAATATAAATTCATACATGCATAATAGTTAACATTTATAGGCTATTTACTAGGTGCCAGACTCTGTGCTAATATTTACATATATCCATTTTCTTACTAATGTTCATTCATAAGTCTATGAGGTACTATAATTATTATTTCCATTTATAGGTGAGGAAACTTAGGCTGACTGAAGTCATGGGCAGGCAGTGAAGTCTGGGCTCAAATCCAGGTCTACCTGACTGCAGGGCCTGCATGCACTTTCTAACACTCTACCAGAAAAACTGGTTAAAGAGAGGTTTGAAGTCTAGTAGGATCTGCAGCCTGGGAGGAAGAGTTGCCATGCAAACTGAGCATACAATCTCCCCAAGGGTGCACAGTTGACAGCCCTAACTCTCTTATAGAAATAACTTCCTGTCTACACAGAATGCAGTGTAGCCAATATGTTGGTAGCCAGAATGGGAAGAAGCTGCATCTAGGGATGTGGTCCTTGGAGGAGAAATGTCTCTCTTCCATTTTGACCCCAGCAGTCACAGTAAAAAAATCAATGCAGGTACTTCTAGCTTGGCGTATCTCTGGTTGATAGGCTGCCGCATCTTAACATGGTCCCAACTGAGTTATACCTAAGGTACAATAATGCCACAGTGTAGCTTGAAGTTTAACCAAGATTATTTAAACAGAACTATATCAAAATCACAACCAAGCTGGCCTCTGATAGACACCTTCACCACACCTCCTTACAACTGTAATTAAAGTTTAAAAAGCACTTTCACAGATAACTCATTTAACACTCAGAACAACTCTGTGAGGTATCTTATTATTTTTATTGTATGCATGAGGAAACTATGGCTCAGAGAGGTTATTTGCCCAAGATCATGGAGCTAGTAAGTGGTAAACAAAAAGGGATTCAAGAAGTGCAGGTGTAACTAAAACCTTCTAAGAACATAACAAAAGGCACATTTAACTTAGTTGTTTGATGAATAACATTTTTTTTTCTCCCCTCTTTAATTCCTCCCACCCACTTTGACCCCTGACCTATGGATGTTGACATTTCTCCTTAAGATTTGGATCTCTGAAGGAGGGAGATCTCCTCCCACACGGCCCCGGCTTATGGTCCGTGGCTCCACCTGGGGTGCAAACCCAGGACCTTCTGCGTGTAAAGCAGACATGTTAACCACTACACTATGGAGCCACCCCCGAATAATAACTTCTTAAATGTTAACAACTGATATTTGGAAAAAGAGTGGCTACTGGTTTTACTGGTTAGGAAGCAAAAGATCAATTACTCTGTAATTTGATTAACACTATACTGTTTTACTGATATGGCTGTTCACTTAATTGAAATATGAAACAAATTCATTATAGAAAAATGTTTGACACTGGTATGTCAAATGTTTGACACTAGTAATGGATGTGAAGCAAGTGGAGAATTTAGTAACATTCAAATAAATCCAGTCATCTCAATAACTAGTGTTGCTTCATGTGAACTAGCTTTATAACCTGGAACTAAGATATCAATTCAGAAAACAAAAAATTTAGAAGCTTGGCATACCATCAAGTGGCCAATGGGGCTGCTCAGCAGTAAGACTAGTATTCTCTAAGCTATAAAAATTATTACAGGCAATATTATTACTAATGGTAATAATATGGCAAATTGAAGTCAATATACACAGACAAGGAACGACTTAGTGTGCTCATGCAGTTTAAATGATTGAAGACCCAATGAAAAGGCTTCTGCTACGTTGGGGATTAACCATACATACAGTAATTAATGGCAGTCTGAAGTGGAATGATAATCATGTAGCAGAGAAAGTAATAAAAATGTTCCAACAAGGTACTAAAATAAGGGTAATAAATGTTTTATAGTAATAATCTGGAATTGTAAAATGGTCCAGTGCAAATCTATATGTTGTCCCATGTTGGAGACTATTAATACCAAACCACCACATGCATGAAAAGGGGACACGATCTATTCAGTGACAATTATATTCCTTCCAAATTGCAGAGCTAAATGATTACCTCTATTGAAAGTATGAATGCCACTCTGCTGAATGATCGGTGAAAACATTCACAGTTTTATATCATTAACAGGAGGGAAAACAAGAGTATATAAAGTTCGTCTTGGCAGTTGGGGATATGATGATTATCCTCAAGACCTGTCCTAAATATAGAATCTGGGAAAACTCAGTCAATGACAGGTACAGACAAGGTAGAGTGATTCTGACTGAGGTATAAAATGGGAAAGTACACCCACTGCCTTATGTTTGGTGGTTAGACAGGTTTATATGTGAGCCATGTGTTTATCAAAGGCCATGATAAAATATGTGGGAATGGATCCATTACAAATCAACAAATCCTGCTTGTGAACAAAACTGGCTACAAGAAACAGAATACTCAACTGTGATGCTTAAATTGTAAAGACCTTGATGTCAGGGCACTGAGCTGATTGATATCTCTGCAATTCTCTTGATCTTCCCCTCAGGTTACAAGTTAGCTGCTACAGCTTTAAGCACCTCATCTTCACACTACCACATTCAAAAGCAGAAAACATGAGTAGAGGCAAAATGAGGCTTTCTTCACAAAATGATCTCTCTCTGATCAAAAAAGAATCTCTCCAAGAACCCTCCCTCAGGAGACTTTCTTTTATGTCTCACTGGCCAGAATCCATGGAATGCACCCACTACAGACCAGTTGCCAAGATTACCAAGGAATTATTATAAAAGGCTTACACTAATCCAAGTACCAGCTCTAAGTACACTGTCACATGATCAATAGCTAAATCAAACTAGGTTCTTGAGCAAGGAAGAAGCAGGGGGAGGGGAAAATGTTGGGTCAGTAATCAACAGTTCCTGCTACACTGGCCAACGGACCAGATATTAGATTTCAGTCTACTTAATGGAAATATTACACGAACATCACAGAAAACATGCTCCTCTTAAGAAGAACTAATACAGGTATAAACTAAGAAACACTAAAGAAAAGCCCACTATCTAAGTAAATTCAATGATTTCATTCCTTTGAAACATTCCATAAACGTATACCCAGTGCCTACTATGTGCTACATGTTATTCCAGGTACTGAAGGTATAGTGGTGAACAAAACAAAGTCTCTGCCCTCAAAGACCTTAGAGTCTAATGGTTTCTGACATAAAAATTGTGCATCTTACAAAAAAGAACAGTAGTCATGCTTCCAAAGTAATTATGAAGGCCATACCTTCTACATACAGACCAAATGGCAAAAGAACGAGTTGGCAGAACTATAGAAAGTTCACTGCATTAAGCTTATTTAAAAATATATTAAAATACTGGTAATACATATTTGATATAGGATTTTTCTAGGTATTCAAAATACTTTAATATACATTATCTTTACTTCCTCCTTGACTGTGAAGGAAGAGTGGTATTAGTACACAGAGCCCAGAGGATGAGAACCTAGGTCTCCTGCACCTCTCAAATCATTCAGTTTTTTCTACAAACTATAGCTTTCATAGAAATGTCTCTAAGATCAAGCATGCCCAAAGATAGAGGCCAAAGTTCTTAGAAAATCTGAGAAGATGACCCATTTCCCTACTTAAATTTACGGTGGCTGAGTGATATAATTTAAAGTGCGTTAATTTCCCACTTTGAACTGTTTAAAGGTAAGAAAATTGCTCATCTTCTGGCCCAAAAAAAAAGGAGAGAAGCTAGAAAAGGTCAAAGTGGAAAGTGTCATTTCAGCAAAGTAGGGGACGGTTCGGGGGTGATGGAAGAAGTACTCGCATGAAAGGAAAAACATCTTGACTTACTTTTTGGTGAGCCGAGGGTCCAGAGGAGGATGCTGAGCTCCATACACAGGCTGGATGCTAAAAGCAAGAAAAAAGAAAGAAGTTGTCAGAATACTAAATATGTTGGGTGAGTACCATCCTCATCACAAAATTGGAAAAGACTTTGAGAAACAGATCACCTCCAAGAACAACTATATATAATCCATCCCCAAAAGACAGCAACCTACCCTTTAAAAAAAAAGGTCTTTGAGAATGTTCATCTTTCCTGATGAGGTTTCAGTGCCTTATACACCTAATGTCAGAAAGTCCTATCTATAAAGGAAGCATGGGAAGATAAGGGGCTTTAGAATTGGAGAGAGCAAAATTCAAATGCCAGTTCTGGCATCCACTATCTCTAAAACTTGCACTAAATACTTGACCACTTTGAACCTAGTCTCACATCTGTAAAATGAGAATAGCACGTACTCCAAAGGATCACTTGGGCTAAAAGACAATGAAGCAACACTACATATCAAGGAAAGGTGACCCATGGAACTCTCACACACTGCTGGTGAGGGTATAAAGTAATACAATCCACTTCAAAAAACAGTTTGGCCACATCTAGGAAGAACAAAATGTACACACCCTAAGACTCAGTATTTTCACTTCCAAATCTATATCTTAAGAGAAATATATACATACGTGTAACAGGAGACATACATAAAACTATTCACAACATTATGGTTCCTTTAGCCTCAAACTAGAAATAACCCAAGTCCGTCAACAGAGAAATAAACTGGAATATGCTCATATAATAAAATACTGCACAGCAATTTAAGTTACAAAGTAGGGCAGCAAGGAACGATGTAAATGAAATCTTACAAATGTTATTGAGCTAAAAGCAAGCAAAGGATAAAAGAGTAAATACTGTATGATTCTACACTTCAAAAACTGGCAAAAGAAAAGATTTCTATTGTTTAGGGATGCATCCATAGTGGCAGCATAATAAAGAAAGCAAAGAGTGATTAAAATAAAAGGATGTGGTTGTCACAGGGAAGGAGGGAGGTGTGATAGAAAAGAGACACAAGGGGCCTGTGCGGTGCACACTTCTGGGGTGTTCACTTTGTGATATAGCATCAAGTTATCATGTCACATAATTGTTTGTGTATTTTTTTGTGACGGGCACACAAGAATAATCATATATCAAGCCAAACTACTGTTCCAGTACAAAGACAACAGAAAAACATGTTTCAACATGTAAGAACTCATGGAATATGGTTTTCTTGACTCCTTACCGAAGGATTACTAGAGGAAAAACTTCAATTAACAATGAGATAAATGTAGAAACTATGGCAAAAGGAATGGTGGAGAGCATTTCTTTAATTTAATCTTAAGACTAAGTCTTAAATCCGAAGCTTTATGGTTGCAGAAGAGAATGTAAAAATAATGTAATTGGCAAATGTGAAAATGGGACAAGGGAAAAATTGGATGAATAAGTATGTATGCTGATATCATCTTTTACTGGTAAGGCTCAAAAGATATTTAAGGCTGATAGCTCAAGTAATAGAGGCATAAGTAGGTTTCAAGATATAAAACTAAGAAAAATAATATAGTCAACTAAAAGCCTGTGGGAAGGGGACAGGAACTATAACTGCTAATGGTGGTAGGGAGTCAATAGATATTGTCTGAAGAAATATGGCATAAAGTTATAAACATAATCACCAGAATAAAAGGATAAGCTTTCCAAATTATCAGACTATATACCTGCATACCCACCTCCCGAAGCAAGTAGTCTGATTTTTTTAAAGATAATATTAAAAACAGAACTAAGACCAAATGTACCAATCATTCTAATAAAAATAAATGGGTTGAATTATTAAAGGACAAAGAATTATTATCAACAAGGGACTGGTTAAATAAATTATTGTACATCTGTTAAAAAAGAATGAGGCAATTCTATATCTACTGACATGAAACAAACTCGAAAACATTCATTAAAAAAAGATGCACAACTGTATGCATAATATGGCACCATTTTTGTAAAAAACGTTAAAATAAAATATATCCACATATTCATATACAATTAGGTTTATGTATTCATAGAGTATCTCCGAAAGAATATAGAAGACACCAGTAGCAGTGGTTTGGAAGAGGAACTGAATGACTGGAGGACGCGGTGGCAGAGAGACTTAGTTTTTATCGCAAATCTTTTTGTACCTTTCTGAATTAGTATCATGTATATGTATCACCTTTCTTGAAGAACTAAATTAAGCAATCTTAAGAGGGTTAGGAGGTTTAAATGGGACAATGTGTAAAAAGCTCTTTTAACACAATTCCTGGTGGGGGATAACACTACAAGGTAGTGATAGATTTGCAAACATTAGAATGCTACCCAGCACACAGAGCCCAAGAAATGGTTTTCTTTCTCCCTCTCAGTTTTGTAATTTATTTTCACCCAACATTTAGAAAATAGGACAAGTTTACCAAGTACTTTCTTCGACATACAGATGTGATCCTAAAGTTGCTTTTAAATAAAAATGTAGCCCATTCAATCATTTTTACATTGATTTCTACTAAGATTCCAGAGGGAATGTTCCTGTGTACAGATCTTTAGTTACGGATATAGCCCCTACCTTTTTAGCTATAAAATCTCTACTCCCTAAATTGGAGGTTATTTGTTAATTTATAAACAAACCATTACATATACTACTATAGAAATACAAACAATGCTACTTTAATGGGTTTACAAAGTTTCTAAGGCAAAGGAAAAGAGAGAGAAAATAAGAGGGATCAAAGAATAGGAAAGTTTGGCTTACAAAGGCTTAGACAAAACAAAAATTAAAACACACAAAAAAACACCAAATGGGTCATTGATCTGTATTTTAATGTTTGCAAATACTCTCAGTATACTTGAACTCTCCAAGTTCATAAGCCTCTTTGTAGTGAAATATAAAGATCAATGCAGGGGGAAAAAAGCAATCCTAATTATACAGGCTTAAGGGTCAAAGGCCCTTAACTATCCAGGAAAGAGAATTTAAAATCCTGGTGGACTGTTTTTTAAAAATATCAGTCCAATGTACTAGCACAGCCAGAAAGACCAAAATAAATGATAGACTTCTTCAGCAAAGACATCAGAGCCCAAACCGAATTTAACATATTCCTAAACCAAACTGTGCTGTTTCTGTACCTGGAACACTTCATATAATTAATCGGTTTATTAAACCTCAAAAAGGACAGGCAAGAAGTTAGAAAAGGAAGAGAAACCAGATGTTCAGAGACTACATGCAGACAGACTAAGAGCCTAGCGACTAAGGTGCTCAATTTCCTAGTATTTATAACTCACCTGTCACCTGTACTATCTCTAGTCCTTCTAAATCCAGTCAACTCTACAGCAGGCTGTTCTCCACTCCGCCTTCCAAACATACCTTAATTACTAAATCGGACCCTTCTCCCTACTCCCTTTTCAAAATCCTATCCATCCTGAAACATTCCCTTCAAATTCCAGACCTCTCTAACTGCCCCATCCCCCTCCAAAATACTTTCTCTGACCCCTACAGCCAGCACTCCCATGCCTTCTCTGATTCCCTAAGAAACCTACGTCAAGACTTATAATGCTTTTAAAAAATAAACTATTTTAAAAAATAAACTAGATTTAGATCATTATACAAGGCTCTTTATGTTCAATGTCTACGTGAGAAATAAGACATGGAGTTGAAACCCCAGCAGACCCCTCCCTTCCTTCCTAGAAAGCCATTTTATTGAATCCGGCATTTTTCATCCTTATTTTTGTTTTTACATTTTTATTTTCTATGTCTATATCCCTAATAAATAGTATTGTTTTGCATGTTTTTAAAATTTTATATAAATGGCATCGCTTATTATTTATATAAATGGCTGTCCGATATCTTCAAAACAAATTTAAAAAACATTAGCTCCAAAAAAATATGTAAACCATTCAATTCACATTTTCAAAGAGAAGTAGAGAAAACTATAACATCCATGAACCCATCACTCTGATTCAACAAATTTTAACATTTGTCACATGTCTTTAAGAAAACAAAGCATTAGAAAGTCCCAATTGTAGTCTCCAGGTCCCATTCCCCTTTCTCCCCAAGAGATAACCACTATCCTAAAGTGAGTATGAAATCCTCCCCATCTGTTTTTATACTTTTCTATGTATTCACATATCCATAAACAACATAAAATACTTTTTTATGTTTTTAAAACTTTACATAGAAGACTGCACACTGTGCATATCATTCTACATCTTGCTTTTCTCACTCAACAATGTGTTCTTACCCAGCTCCACTTTTAAGTTATTCTGATTATACAGAAGTAACATATGCTTAGTGGAAAAACAGGAAAGTCAATTACACACAGCAACCTCACCAGGGGAAGCCATGGTGCCAAGTAAATTTTCAGCTTCTAAAGGGCAGTGGTGGTGCATATCTTTTTCTATAGTCCCTTCACCACATGGCAGAGCACGACACATACCAGCAGGCACTTAAACAATACTTACTGAGTGAACACTGGAACTCTGCAAAAATCTGGCCTCTGTTTTAAGCTGACTCTTGTTCAGCTAAACCTAAAAACTAGAGGCAAACATGCTGCATCTCAGAAATCACATTGCATACAAAGAGCAAAGAATGCCACAGGGTGTGCTGCAACTGTGACAAAAAGGAGCAAAAATCCTGGTCCACCTCCATCATTCTCTTTAATAAAACCAATACCACAGAATGTATTGGCATAGCTGGTTTACGTAGTTGGAACATTGCAAAAACCTTGGTAGGAAAAATCAACAGGTGTTTGCTTAGCGCTAACAAAGGAGCTAAAGCAAATATGAGACTAGAGCTATCCAATTTAAATCAAACATGTTGGCAACTGATTCAGGTTCACACACTTCTTTGATGGAAGTCTTTCAGAACTATTGATCTACGCTGTTTCTGTGATAATTTAGTATCTTCTAGTCACTTACTTTATCAGTAAAACATTTCTAAGCTAAGAACAGGTTGTAACGTACCTGCTCAGACAAGCTGGGACCATTACAGAGTCTACTATCAGATTCATTAATATTATGAAAAATGACCAAATGACAGGGA